TGAGCCTTTATCCTAGATGCAAAGCTCAGGGATGCGGCAGATGATTTGTTCCCTGCATCAAACCATTCACTCTCTGATGCAAAGTACTCTTTGAATTCTTTCCAATGCGAGAGGAAATCTGAGATGGACTTTTTGACAGCCTTGTCCTTAAGGATCTCTGTGTTCATTCGGTAGTAACCTTTTCCTCTACGCACATTCCGGTCTGGAACGAAGGTTGCTATGACCGGTCTGTGATCAGACATCGAGTGAAAGGGCATTCGGACTTCCATGACCCAGTCTACTGGTTTGTGTCTCAACAGAAAAAAATCTAGCCGAAGCTTAGTATGCAGATTGTTTGCCCTGGCTTTAGGAGATATCCATGTGAATTGTCGGGAATCAGGGTGTAACAGTCGGAACGGATCTTCGAGGCCTTGGCTTTCCAAAAATAGGTTGATCTCCCATGTGTCATTCCTCAACGGGTCCCCTGAAGTGGAATCAAGGTGGGGATCGAGGATGGTGCTCCAGTCCCCCCTTAACACCAAGCTATCTGTAGAGGGCAAAACATGGGGCAGGGTCTTAAAGAATTGCAGTTTTTCTCTTTGATTTACTGGTGCATACACCGACATGATGGTCCAAGGTAATTCTTCTACCTCTATTGTAACCCAGACCCAACGCCCAAGTGAGTCTGCGTAATCATCAATGTGTGTGAACTGAAAGTCCCTACTAAACAGTATTGTCGTGCCCCCTTTTGTGCCATCCGCAGGTGCCCAGTACTGAGGGCCCTGCCATTTCTACTTTCTTTCCTCAATTTTTCCTTCATTCAACTTCGTTTCCTGAATTAGAATAATATCAATTCTCTCCTGATGGACCCAGGATTTCATCCTGGCCCATTTTTGCTGATCATTTTCATCTCCCAATCCTCGAACATTCCACAAACCAATCCTGAGTTTATTCATTTTCGTTCGATCCCTCTGCTTTTTGGATCAGGGAAATGTCTGGTGCTGGAAATCTGGAAACCTTCTCTACTTCCCCTACCTCCATTGCATTGTCGTCCTCCTGAGGTGAAGAGGGGCCTACAATCCTCTCCTGTTCAGATAGTAGGGACTCTATGCTGGATTTCCGTCTCCTGTGACCTGTTGGACCAGACCCATCTATGCTGACCTGCCAGGGGACGGACAGCAGTCTTGCGAAATATTCCGAAAATAAATTACAGTCCGCGGCTAGCTGTTGATTATATTCGAGGATTATATCCCCTGAGATTGCCTCGACTGTGTAGATCATTTTGGCATGGAGTACTGTTTCTTCTTTTGCCCAGTCCAGTGGGCACCAAAAGGCGTACCCGGTCTGCAACTCTTCTAGCTCTGCTTCCGTGGCCCGTACTATGTCGAATGCAGCCAAGAAGATGTGAAGACGAAAAAACGCCGGGTTTGGACTCATTCCCGAAGGAATTCTGGATTCATTACTGGGACATCTTCCAAAATAGTTTACTCAGATTCGTGTAGGCAGTTCGGGAGGAGAGGTCGTTCGGGGGCCTAATCAGTCAAGGGGTGACTACACTGCTCTACAAAAAAGGGGATAAAGCAGACATGAGGAATTACCGTCCAATCACGCTTCTCCCCCTCCCCTATAAAATGGTTTCAAAGGCACTAACAAACCGCCTCCTTCCACACATGAACCACCTTATCTTCCAAGACCAAACAGGTTTCATGCCACAAAGAAACATTCAGAACAACGTGCTCCTGGTAAATGAGACTATCAAATACGCTCGTCAACATCGAAAGGAGGTGGCGGTTCTGTTTATAGACTTTGAGAAGGCATACGACCACGTGGATTGGGATTTCTGGATTACTGTCAGGAGAAAATGAACTTTGGAGCGGGATTCAGGGCATGGATCACCATAATGCCCAAATCTGTTGCCACAAACATCATGGTTAATGGTCATTTGTCTCCCCCATTTGCACTCCAACGGTCGGTCCGCCAAGGTGACTCGGTGACCCCCCTCCTCTTCGTGCTCGTAATGGAGACACTGGCAGCAATGATTAGGGCCAACCCTGCGATAGAACGTATAGATATCCCAGAATTGCCCCCCCATATGGTCCCTATTACATCTCTATTTGTTGATGACCTCACAGTTCTAAATAAAGCCACAGCCGCATCCCTCAAAGCGCTTACAGAAACTATCCACACCTTCGAAGTGGCGGCAGACATGAAGGTTAATTGGGGGACTAAGATAGAAGGGTGGTGGCTATCGCCGCAGAACTCCCTCCCGCCGCAACAGCCTCAGGTCAGTTGGAAACCAAGAGACGAGGCCATAAGAGTTCTGGGGGTCCGCCTGACAGCCCTTGGCCCCCCAAAGGATCACGGTCAAGTCTTGGTCCAAAATGCGCTCCAAAAACTAGCCGATTGGGACGGGCTGCACACATCACTTGTAGGTAGAGCGTTGTGGTACAAAACAACATTTTGGGAGATCCCCAAAAATCAACTCACACAATTGCGCTCAGCGTTGTCAGCCTATCTACGGAGGAACGATCATAACTTGACCAACTGTCTAAAAAGGGTGGCATGGAAGTACGTGGCCCAGCCGAAAAGGGTGGGGGGTCTAGGCATCCTGGATCCAGGGGATGAGATCAAAGCCCTCATGTTCAAAGTTGTTATCCGCCTTCTGCTAGCAAATGATGTTCCATGGATATCGCTGACATATATACAACTGTCAAACTTGCCCCCCCCCTCTCACCCGGACGCCCCGGTCCATCCCCTCACATGGCTAACAAACGGGTCATGGTCAATACCGGGCACACCACGACAAAGGCGGGATGGAACGGCCCGCAACAACGTTAGGTGGGCAAATGGGGCCTTCCAAAAAGTCCCCTCCCCTTAGATGGCAGGAAGTATGGAGGCAACCGATATTTGAGAATCTCGACGTGTGCGATGGAGAGGGGAAGCCTTTCTCCTTTGCAGCCGACTCCCAATGGCTTACATGGGTGAGGAGGGGTTTTTTCAAGGTGGGCGATCTCTGGGATAGCAATAGTTGTGCCTGGAAAACAGCTGAACAAATGAAACCATCTTTGTCAAACACTAAGAAAAGGTAGGAAAAACTGGACCAAATCCTTAGAGCAATCCCACCGACATGCGAAATCGCCCTGAAAAACGGCCCGTCAATCCGCACCCTGGACTGGGTCATACGCTGCGCAAGGAACTCCATACCGATGACTATCTTTAGGGTATGTCACAACTCCATACCGATGACTATCTTTAGGGTATGTCAATGTACTGCTCAAGAGGCGCAGGTCCAAGCATATGTGCCAGACATGCCAGGGGCACGATGGGTGCTGCTAAGAAGGGATGTCAATCAAGATTGCACACTCCCGGTCGATGAATTGTCCAGGGTAAGGGTGGTGGGTTCTGACGATGAGGGTTACTTTGCCTATGAAATGGCCACACCAGTCTGTGCCCTTCAATTTGACCCCGAGGAATGGGAGTGGAAAGGGAGAATCCCTACACCAATATGGCAATATTCGGTTAGACAAGGCTACAAACAAGCAACACACACTGCACACCTCTACACCAGTAGTCCAAAACCGGTGGAAAAGGGATTCACCACTAGATGAAAAGGAACTGCAGCGTATCCATTGGACCACTTATGCACACATTATGCCAACTTCCCACCGAGCGCTGCAATGGCAGATCACACACCGATGCCTTCCGACACCGGCCTGGATAACCTCCCCTCTCGATGTCCCCCCCACCCAGTCCTCCGTCCCCTTCTTTGTTCCCTCCTCCCTAGCCCCCTCCTTCTCCCTTCTGTCTCCCCCTCTACATTTCTATCTCYATCTTCCCCTGTCCCRTCCCCKGACMTTCCTCCTCGGTGGCCAGCCAGCTCATTCCATAAAGACATCAGCATTCTCCAAGRACAACAGAAAGACGACTCCAATAACAATGGCAACTGCGGTGAGCTCGGTCCCCCCAGTACAGGGGCTGGGGGACCGGTGCTGACCATACTGCGTAATACTTAAATATGCTCAGTAGCTGAGCACAAGCATTGCATATACACATCAGCACTCTTCAATGACAACGGACAACACTAACAGCAAATGGCATCTGCGGTGAGCACGGTCCCCCCAGCACAGGAATAGGGGGTCCTGTCCCGACCAGACCGTGCTG